TCTAAGTAATGCACCACAGATTTCTGTCCAGACTGCTGCTTCAATATCCATTCCAAATATGATGAAAATTCCTCAAAAAGACTACAAGACACCACAAAATATTTATTTAAAACCTAAAAGCTCAAAGATCTGCCGGGTGAACAGGAAGCAACCTAAATGCAGACTTAAGGTCCATTTTACCCATCAAGGCCCCCTTACCCAACAAACTTAGTAACCTAACCGCATCATCTAATGAGGAGTAATTGACTGAGGAGAAAGATGGATCAATAAAGGAATTAACACTCGAGTTTTCCGGTTCAGATAAATGATGAATCAACTTAAATGATCCCTCTTTTTTCGGTACTAAACCTACAGGTGAATTAAAGCCTAAGACTGGGAAAGGGTCTTGAATGGAATGGGCCACTAACTCTTCCAGCATTAATTTTCAAAACTTTTTTCAGAATTCCAAGCTCATTATCTCTAGCTGACTTTAAATTAAAACAATTAGTGCTACCCTTTGGACCATTGTAATTTAGAAACCTTCATAAAACCCCTTTGGCAAAATTTCTGAACCCTTCCTATTATAATCAGAGTTTTGTAAATAAGCTGCAAGAACTTCTACTTTAACTGGGGAATAACCTAGGTCCTGCAGATTGTGGTGCACTGGGAAATCATGCTCAAGGCTGGGGTGGTCTTGATGAAGGTCCCTGGTTCCTGTATTATAATGGGTATCTTTGACCTGAAAAATCTCTAGAAGCATATTGATATTTAGCAGATGGGCCTTTTTACATGGATGAGGCCCGCTACAGTTTCAAACATTTATGTAATTGTTATAGTCATAGCATTAAACACCCCCCCCCGAAGGTTTTTGCACCGGACCAATAAATGATGGTACCATGTACAGTAGCTATAGCTCCTGATCAACTATTCTTCATGAAACACTTGAATTTCTTGCAATTCTCATTTGAAATTGCTCATTATAAAACTTCCACCTTATATCTGACAGCCTACCTGCCTAGCCCCTAGACAAACAGTGTGGATTCATTTTAACAAGCCAAAAAAGAAATTCTGTAGGGTGTACTGTGGCATATACTGAAGAGAAAATTAAAATTGCATCAGTCCACTGCTGTACATTTGTAATTTTTACTGTAACCAATTTCGGTTCAATTACTACTTGACCATAAGAGACTGTTAGTGTTTGCTTATCAACCCTCGGGACCGGATTGGATAGAAGCTGTCATAAATCAATGTATTCGCGCTAAACATTTTTTTGATTTATTCTGTAGCATTTTCCCCCAAACTACCGCATATACCATCGATCTCGTTACCTGTTGTATCAACATGATTGGCAGTCTCTACATTGACATCAGATTCATTGCTGCAACTAGTGGAAAAAGTAACCACACTTGTAGTAACCATGGTAACAATAATGTCTGTACAGGGTATGTTTCCCTCTGACGAAACATCTGTAGATTCGACTGATCCCACTTTTTGGTTTAGGCCCGCTCGTAGGTGCTGATTTCCGCTTCGCCGGCTTGGCAGCGGGTTTAACTCTACGCATTTTCTGAAACTACCGACTTTGGAATAAGAAATATAATATAGAAATAGGCCTAATGATGAAGTTATTATTATTATTTTTAATATTGACTTGGCGTTACGACTTAGACAATTTTTGTTAATAAAATCATTATTATTATATTTTGCTCATATATTGACTAAGCGTTACGACTTTTCTGTTTTATATTACGCATGTGGTTTTTTAAAAATCGAAAAACATCCGAAAAGTCATGTACATAATGATGCAAATACACACGAAAATAAAAATTGCTAGAAACATTCTCCTTAAATTTCATGCATAACATGAATTTTTTAACACAATATAAAATAAATAAACAATTTTTTATCTTTAGATGCAGGATATGTCTGCTCCCCTTCATTCTCTAACAGAAAAGGAAGTCCCAAGGATCCGACTAAAATACCAAAAGTTGAAAGAACGGGGAAATGCTAATGACCCGATAACCCCGAATATGGGCCTCTCTAATAACGCGATTTAATTTTCAGCAATTAAATCGAATTATTTTAAATGTGACCTGCAACATGTGTTGCAAAATAATACATTCTTTTGTCTTCATTGCTCATTTATCTACATCGTAAATAATCACATGTAGTGTAAAATTTTGTTTGCCATAAAGAAAGACTATCCCAATCCATTGTATACCGTATAGAATGGATAATTGTTGTAAATTCCTTTTTTACTAAGTGTTATCCATACCATCGAATCGAAAGTAAAAAATGTTTTACTACAAAAGTTATTTAAAATCAAAAGTTCATAAATAATGCAAGCATTTAACTCTAAAACATCATAGATGGTATCAGATGCCATGTGGAAATTAGCATCACCTGCCGACCGGTCACACCCGCGTGTGCCCTTTGTCAAAGTCAGGAAATAAAAACGGAAAAATCTGTCGGTGGTTCAGTGTGTAAAAAATGTCTTATTATTCAGTCTGAAAAACGGCAGTCAGCATGTGACTTAATGAAAGACTGTATTTGCTACAATTGTAACAAGGTCATTGCAATTGCGTCGACCATAAAACTTACAAAACTACGACTTTAAAAGAGACTGCTTGTTTCAGCACATTGTCTGTCAACAATTTAACTCGTTTTAAAAAAAGTTCATATATATATATATATATATATATATATATATATATATATATATATAGAAAGCACAAAGAAATTCACTTTTACATGGATACCCACTTCCGCCCCAGCCCGGGGTTGAACTCTCGACCTTCGGAATCTGTCTCCTAGCAGTGCAGGAACAGCGCGCTAGACCGCTCGGCTATCTAGGCAAGTCAAAAAAACTTGCTTTCGATGCCGATGGAATTCTCGCGGCGCTGCCCTACACTACGGTCATTGAGAATAGAAGTGAGATACAGTTATTTGGACATTAGTTTTAACAGAGGATTGTTACCAATACATGTTGTAATGAAATTAATTATTATTTATAAAGCACAAGTTACAACAACTCTTAAACTAATATAACTGCCCTAAGTGAAGAAATATTAATATAGAAAGCACAAAGAAATTCACTTTTACATGGATACCCACTTCCGCCCCAGCCCGGGGTTGAACTCTCGACCTTCGGAATCTGTCTCCTAGCAGTGCAGGAACAGCGCGCTAGACCGCTCGGCTATCTAGGCAAGTCAAAAAAACTTGCTTTCGATGCCGATGGAATTCTCGCGGCGCTGCCCTACACTACACGGTCATTGAGAATAGAAGTGAGATACAGTTATTTGGACATTAGTTTTAACAGAGGATTGTTACCAATACATATATGTATATATATATAAAATCCAAATTCAAATGATAAACTCAAACTTTTATCTAAAGCGCTTTCGCCCCATGCGGGCTCATCAGTAGATTTGAAATTATAAACAAGTTACATTATGACGTCATTCTCGTGACGTTATGTAGGCAACGTTAAACATAATGATTGTGACGTAATAATAATCACAGTTAAATGAGGCGCACAGATAAAGTTTTACAGTTCATCTGATCAAAGTTAAGCGCCTATTATAAATGTACAATAATGGAGACATTTTATATAAAATGTACATAATAAAATAATTTGATATAAATTCCTTTTAGCAGTTCAATTTTGGTTTAAACAGATTTATAAAATATTGTTCTTTGGCTTTTCGTAATTGTTCATTTTCCTCTTTTATTTGGTAAAAAGGAAATATATAAAAATGTCCCTTGCCACAAGAATCAAAGTGTTCACTACATTGCGTGTTTCGTATGGTCGGATCCTTAATCTGTTGTTTGTGCACGCGAACACGATCGGCTAATTTGGTTCCGGTTTGTCCTACATAATTTTCCTCACATGTAGGACACGTCATACAGTATATAAGGTTTTTAGATTTACACGTCATAGAAGATTTAACGTCAAACTTCATTCCGTTTTTAAAAATAATGGTTTGGCCGGTTTTTAAAAATTGACAGGTTCCGCATCGTGGATCCTCGCACTTAGAAACCATCGGTTTCTCGGGGTTCGATGTAAATTTGGCAGTGGTAAGAATCTTTTTCAAATTGGGAGGTTGACGCCTGCTGTGTAGTATATCCTTTGGTTTAATAAGGTCCCTTAATGTTTCTGATTGTTGAATAATAGGGAAATATATATATATATATATATATATATAGAGAGAGAGAGAGAGAGAGAGAGAGAGAGAGAGAGAGAGAGAGAGAGATGCAAGAGCATACAGTATATATAATTATATATATACAGCATGCTCTTGCATATCGAATCAAGTGACAGATATAAACCTCATTTGTAAGTATGAAGGTTAATTGCTTCCAAATTAACGATTATTTTTGACAGTTTAGTAATTTTTGGAAACTTTCATTTTAAAGTCATCTATCTTATTTTCAATAAACTACCTTTTTTAGCCTTTCAAGATCACTTTTGTCAAGAATAAGACTCCAAAATGTTAAAAGTGGGCTATGTTCCCAAATCTCCCATTTAACTTTTTTATTCGGCGTAATTGTTGTTAATGCGTATTTCAAATCGGAAAACCTTTGAAATGATTATCTTAGATATCTTTCTTTATCTACATGTACCATTTATATTGATAAATAATGGCCAATTTTCACTCCTCTGTTTCACGTGACTTGCAAGTAAATATATTCGTGTCAAATATTAAATGTTTGACAACAAAACAAGACCGTAATGTCAATAAAACAGCTTGAAAGTTGAAAGATTTCTTTTCAGACTTACAAATATTAAAATGCATTTATTCGTTATTGAAAACTATTTAGCTGAAATTCATGTGGAGGCCTGTATGTTTTCTTATATCAATTCCCCATAATCACCTATAGACTTTATCAAAGCCCTATATTGTAAAACTCAACATAAACGATCGATACTAGAGGAAGAAGTTCATTTAAAATGGCGGAGTCAAAAGAAAGCAGCGATCAACTTGGGAAGGAATATTTTACTTTGAATTTTATTTACCTAAAAAATGGCGAATCAGTTAGAAAAATTTATCAGACGCTTGCCGATTGCTATAAGTGTGAAAGACAGATTAAAGTCGAAAAAAGGTAAGCAATTAATTGAAAGTTGAGGAAGACGTTCTATAAAGACGTTGAGGTTATTGGATATAGATTTTGTGTGAAAACTCTTTTCATAGATCTCATTACTTCGCTTGTAACGTTTTTTTTTACAATCAAGAATCTATATTTCATAAGAGTTTAACTTGTTATTTTTTGTCAAAATTGACAAAACAAATTACAGGTAAATCGAACACAAATATACCAAAGACCTTTAACAAAACCTTAGTTATCATGTATCTGTTTTCATTTTATTGTAATGGCTTGCTACATTCGATTTCTCTGATAACAATTTTATTAGCCAACATATTTGGAAAATGTATAGAGACACAAGATTTAGATGTAAAGAAGTAGACCTTTTTTGAATCGTGATGATATACGGAAGTGAATAAAGAAACTAGACAAGTCTTATTTAGAAATATAAGAATACACTGGGTAAAGGAAAAATATTCCAATTGGTCTAATTCTCACTTAGTTTCACCGGTAACGCATGCAGTTACTTAATTATATATCATACAACAAATTTAACATGCAAAAATGTTTATTATGAAGCCATCTTATGGTGTAAAATTGTGTTCCATTTGTGTCATTCAAAAGCATAAAGGAAAGTCACTTTTTGTTTGTTAGGAATTTAACAACTTTTATTATATCTTAGTAATGTATAAATTGGTCATTCTCAATGCACTTTAAAACGGAACTTAAAATAAAAAAAAACATTTCTCTCTTTTGGCCATAAGACAGTTTGAAATTTAGTTTTAAATATTTCTTTTGCATCAAATTCAATAACGATAAAATATATTTTATAGTATGCTCAACAAAAAGGAAGACAATAAATGAAGGCATTTAAAGTATACACTCGTATAAATATCAAAATTTTAAATCACATATTCACAAAATGTAATTCAAAGTGAGGATAAAACACATCTAAAAAAATATTTCATCAGCAAAACCATTGAATGAAGGCATAAAGCTAGCTATGACTGCATTTCTTTCATGAGATTTGTAAACTGAACAAAAGATACTCAAACCCGTGTGGATTAATAATGTTTGTTTGGTTCACATCAGTTATGTTCTATCAGAGTGTTTTAAAATACAGTCTTCATAACAAAATTAATTCTTTAATTTTTTTTTATTGACGACAAATATGAAACTTCTGGTGTAGATTACAATAATTTAGATATTATCTTATTGATTTTCAGACCAGGATCATGCTTATTTGGAACATAATATCAGCTGTGCTCTAACTATTGCGTCCTCATTAGAAAATGATTTGGTTAGAAGTATGCTTCTCCTGTTATTTTTGGAAAATAAGGTACAGCAGGATGAAAACATGTCATGGATGGAAGTCATTCCTAGAAAAAGGCCATCTTTCATTAAACCTGATAAACAGAAGAAAGAAAGTATCGAAATACATGGCGGAAGTATGATATCACCGGTCATATTTGTGAAACATTGGAATATAAAAGCAGATTTAGAATTCGAACAGAAAAAATCTCGCCTTATGATAAAAACTCATGAAATTATTATGATCCAGATTTATACAGCAAAAGAGTATATACACGACTATGTCATAAAAGATATTTAAAATGATTACACGTCTGTGTGCCTAAACGTGAGATCTAGCCCTAAATTATTCAAAGACATATCTTCACACAGGTATGATGATGAGCCAAGACATGTTAGGATACTGGCCAGTAAATGTGGTTTTTCAACTTTTGGTTATTTAAATAGTTTTTGTCTGAAGTTCCCAACAGATAGCCTAATTCTATTGAGATTAATTTGGTTTATGCAGTACAGGGATATTCATGTTGTTTACACACAGATAAGGTTTCAAAATCCCACGAAAGAGATTGAATCAAGATTCAAAGAGTTTGAAAATGTGTACGGAAATCATTGTGTTCTCTAGGTTATAAAGTAAAGGACCAAGTATCACAAGAAGTCATAGATGTTATAGATTGTCTATACCAAGGAAAAGTCATCAAACAAGTCCTCTTCAGTATGATGAAAAACGTCGCTGAAAAACCTTTCTTCAATTTTCCAGAAGAATTATGTGCAGCAGTAACAAAAATGACAAATCAAAATGGCCGTTATAATGAGAGTGACGTTTCTGAAAATCATTTAATGGAGAGGAAGGTTTTCCTAACACCTACAAAATTCGTTTTCTTGCCAAAGGAACCCGTATTTAAGAACAGAATTTTTCGTCAGTACAATGAAGATTTCTTTGTTAGGCTCGTCTATCGAGATGATAACTTTGAAAAAATTAGCGCAATGGAGTCGAGTACACTAAATGAGGTATTAGTTGATATGAAACAGATTTTCTTGGAGAGGTTTATCATTCAGGACCGCCATTACGAGTTTTTAGGTTGTTCCAACAGTCAACTACAAGAACATAGTTTCTGGTTCTTCAGCTCCTATGATGGAATAACAACAGACTACATAAGACACAAAGCTGGGGACCTATACAAAGAAAGATGTGTTGCTTCGTACTTGTCCCTTTTCGGACTCTGCTTTTCTTCATCGTTCCACACATTGAACATTGGGGAAAACGGGGAAGAAGTAAAATATGAAAGTGATGTCAAAAGAAATGGGTTTTGCTTTACTGATGGAATTGGAAAGATTTCAACAAGGCTTGCTGTCGAGGTAGATGCTTTATTTTTGTTTTGTTTTTTAAATTGTTTTCATTCTTTTCCTTACCTTTTTGTATATAATATACAAGGTAAATACAAAGGTCTCTGATGTTTTTTTTAAATATACCATACTAACCAAATAATAGAGCATAAAACGGACCTCTGGAAATGTCAGAGGTGGATATTTCCAAAAGTAGATTCAGATACCTAGTACTAGTACATATTACCTGATACATTTTGTAATTAAATCCGTATGTAAGATACATGAACATGTATTAATTCTCCTGAAAGGCAGACAAAACTTCCCATTATCAATTATCGAAAGAAAACAATTTTAGTATACCTGATCCTGCCTCTGATGATTTGAAGGTTAGCGTTTACTCTGCTCCTATTTTGTTTAGTTTTATGGACTTTTGAGTTTGAATGCTTTTCCTTATCTCCATTTATTCCATTGAATAAAATCAAAGCATGACAATATACAATGTGGTGCCTTTGACTTGAATAAAAATTTAGATATTATTTCCTTTTTATGACATAAAATCTACAAATGTGTTATAATTTGTCGGAAGGGGCAGTTATTAAAGGTCCGGTTGCGACGATATCCAAAATGAGACGTCAATCCTTACATTACATTTCATATTTCTTTTTTCCTTTTTATATATGATTATTTATTCTATCAATCTTGAGTATCAATTAAAATCCTAAGCCTTTTGATCTGTTGTGCTTAAAGTACAAAAGAGCCACTGTGACGTGTAGTATTTAATGGAGCAAATGAATATCGTGATAAAAAAAACACAAAAGGTTTTAATTTAAAAGCACAATCATTATCGTTTTAATAAAATATATGGATAAATATAAAAGTTGTCAAGTTGAAAAGTATATTTAACATTTTAATACTTATTATTTATGATGTATACGATACATATGATGGCTATGAATAAATGTAATTTAATCTTGTATTATAGGTCGATGCATATGATAACTAAAAATAAATTTAATCTTGAACTTCAGGTTTGTAAGATAATGGGCTTGAAGACCGTTCCATCTGCGTTCCAGATACGATATGGTGGATGTAAAGGTGTGGTTGCACAAGATCCTTCTTTTGGAACGGAGAGAAAGGTTCTTGTAATTAGAGAGAGCATGAAAAAGTTTGAGTCCAATTCCTCAAGTCTGGAAGTGTTACAGTATTCACGCCCAGGTATCAGGTTATGTTTATTTTTCCCCATATATTTTAATCAAATGGTGGTGTCTCCATACGAGTGAATTTCTCGAAAGGGTCGGAAAATAAATTTACTGATGTTGAAATTTTTGAATTATTGCTACATTCTCAGAACATGTCAACTAATACAGGTGCAAAATCACCACTCATTGGAATTAGAAACATTTTTTGAAAGGTCTTGTCTCCGATATCTGCATAAATGTTGTCGATTAGGATTTTAAGCATCATATCAAGATCAACTTCAGAGTAATTGTATGTAAAATCAGATTATTTATATAGAAAAAAAATTGATGACCAATCACAAGAAAGGAAAATTTTAGATTTCTATTTTTATTTAAAAAAAAACATTTTTCTATAAAATCCAACATCTTAGTTTTTTTTATTAAAGAAGACCACAGAACATTAACTGGCAAGATTGAAAATATGCAGCTTATGTCATTTTAGTCTGTTACAATCAAAATATTCATTGAAAGACAATGAAATGGGCGGGTGCAATTCGACGCGTGCTGCAGAGAAAACATTGGATTGAAATTCTTGTTTGATTTTTCAATGAGTATGCATACAAAATACGACGGTATCACTTGACTAGAGAATATACCGAGATGATATGAATAGGATTGTAAATAAAACATCGCTTCTTAATTAACGAATTTTTGTACATATCTCTAAATGGTATTTCGATTGATTAAAAAGGCATTTTTCATAGTACAAAAAGAAAAGTCTTTAGCCTTTCACTGTGTACAAAATGCGTCATCATTTACGATATCACATCACATTATTAAGTACATTAAGACCATTTAATTGCTTAGATCTTGTAGTTTCCGATTTAAGAAAGGACAAAACTGCATGTAATAATAAGTTTTGATGTAGTCCAGATCCATCTAATTGTTAAATCTTGCAAATAATAAATAACTTCATTTTCTGGTATAATGAAGACCTGGCATTTTTCTGTGACGTCAAAGAAAACATTAGCTGTATGAATTAGGCCTGCCTCATCGTTGTACATGTAGTCTTAAATTGCTGTAGATGTGGAGACAGGTCATTCGTATGAGACGGTATAAATTGAGGTCCCGTGTAACAGCGAACGCAAACACAAAAAGATCCCTCACTGCTCAGTGGGTCTGAGTGCCGAGTATAATTAATAATAATTGGTAGCTCTCCACCTGCAAGTGGTGGCGTCTCCATATAGATGAAAATATTCTCGAGATATGCGTAAAACAATAAATTTCCAACAGAGCAAATATATTTAGATACATTTAGTTTGTCACATTTTCTTTGATTTGTTTAATCAATTACAGGCCCACTGCACCTGAACAGACAAGTTATAACTTTGTTATCGGGATTGGAATTCCAAATGATGTGTTCCAAAATCTTCAAGAGACGATGTTGTTTGACTTAGCAGATATGTTTCTACACAACGACACGGCTCTATTGAGTTTAAAAGAGGTATTGATAGGAAATTTCCCAATTCATAATGACATATCATTTCGATAACAAAATTCATAAAGATCATCTTGGATTGGTTTCATGTATAAATACCAGAGTAGAAATAATTTTGAATTAAATCTTGTTAACATCAGAATCTGAAAAGTTTTACATATCATTTTCAGTTACCAATAGCAATCAATTTCAAAGATCTTTTCGAAAAAGGGGTAAACTTAGTTCGAGAGCCTTTTGTACGGTCTCTGCTCCTAGCAATATTCCAACAAAGAGCAGATGACCTTAAAAAGAGATCACGGATTCAAATACCTCTACATAATGGAAGGTATATGATGGGTACATCGGATGAAACTCAAACACTTAAATATGGACAAGTGTTTATTCAATATTCAAAAGAACTTGACCAGCCACTTAAAGACGTACAAATGGTTCTTGGCAAAGTTGTGGTCACAAAGAATCCATGTTTTCATCCTGGGGATATTCGAATTTTTGACGCAGTCAATAATCCTCATCTTAGACATATGGTAGATTGCATTGTTTTCCCTCAACTTGGTTCCAGACCACATCCTGACGAAATGTCTGGATCAGATCTCGATGGGGACGAGTATTTTGTTTGCTGGGATGAACGATTTCACGGATTCGAAAATCAAGAACCAGTGGTTTTTCCCAAGACAGCGAAAAAGTCTTCAATATCTAATGTTCATTTGACGGATATGGTGGATTTCTTGGTCAATTACATAAAAAATGACAACCTTGGAATTATAGCAAATGCTCACCTAGCTATGGCAGATAGTGAACCTAAAGGCATTTTTTTCCGATTCCTGTCGTGAGTTGGCCAGGAAACATTCCTATGCAGTTGATTTTCCAAAAACTGGAAATTTTGCACAAATAGTCAAAGATATTCGTCCCCAGAAGTATCCAGACTTTATGATGAAAAGGGATAAATTATCTTATTTCTCACCCCAAATCATTGGCAAATTATACCGCCAGTGTCTGCACTTACACAATGTCACCCAAAGAGAGAATGTTTTAGGATTTGATATATATATTGATGAAGACTTTGTATCACAATTGACTGGCAAAGAGGCTGAAGATGGAAATTTACAAAGAGAAGTTTATAATAACAAATTGATAGACATAATGAATGAGTATGGACTTCAAAATGAAAATGAGGCAGTCAGTGGGATTATACAATCACTGTCAAGTACAAAGAGTTTTCTAAAAGGCGAAAAATTTCAAATAGGGAAAACAGTTCGGGAGAAAGTATCAAAATTATTCAAAAGAACAAGGGCCATTTTCTTTGAGGAATTTGGTGAAGAAGATATGAAATATGAATTATTAGACCAAATGATTGCAAAAGCTTCTGTATGGTACACTGTAACTTATAGAAATCAAAACAAATCTAATGGCCATCTATTTAGTTTTCCCTGGGTTGTTGCCGATATATTATCATTGATGAAACATGAGAAAATACAAACCAATTCCATGGAAAAAATAGAAATATCCCTGAAAATGAGAATGACACGCTCAGAGAAAGAGCGCATGATAGGCTTAAAGTGCTTACAATCTTTGCGTCACTTAATTGAACGAATTAGACTCCGAAATCTACAATTAAAATGGATTGCTTTATCTGGAAATGATATTGTTCTACCTGATGAATATATTCAGTATTTGTATGTTAAAAGAGAAGACATAAAACCACTCATTTCAACCATACAGAGGTTTACAAATCCCATGATTCCTAGAGAAACCGATATATTTAGCGAGAAATTATGCTTTCCTATCAAACTTAAAGATGGTATGCATGGATATATTATACTAATTACAGACGTTACGATTGCAAACAAAAGTAAAGCAATCAATCAGGAACTCGAAAATTCATCTCTTACATCTGTCATCCAGTTTCTCCTTGAGGAAATTCGGGAGGGTTCTACATTTAACAGAGAAGCTGATGTCTTCGAACGTATGTTACCTCTACTACTTGTCAGACAATCTAATGTAGGGAAAATGGTAAGGAGAGAAAATGGAAAAGCAATGGTCTTACTTGATTGCTTGAAAAACGCCAGGCTTTATCTTAGAAATATAATGGCTTCTGCAGACTTGCCAGAGAGTTCATTACATTGGCTTATGAATAATACTGAGAAAATTGTAAAAAGATGTTTGGTAAAATACATGGAAATTACTTTTTCCTTATCAGTAGATACATCCAGATGTGAAGAGAAAGAGCAATTTTTCCAATCCGAATTTATGTTATTGCCAATCGATTCTTGGAACGCTGTCGAATTTGCGATACCTTATGTGGAATTCAAATTAAAGGAAAAAACTGGCGCAGATATTTTTATCTATTATGTAGAATTGAGAAAATCTAAGGTTTTGAAACTAGAAGCAAGGGGCACGAGTCTTCAGCTTGAGAATATACATAAGGCTCTATACGATATGTCGACAAAGTCCATTGCTAAAAGTATCACCTATAAAAAATTTGGACAAACAAAGGTGAATGAAGCACTTGCAGTCCTTTTTGAAGGATCTACACAAAATGATGATCTTGTACAATTTCAAACCTACGATGGTCATTGCCAAAAACATCATTTAGGAAAATTTAAATACCTTCCAATTTTAGAAATTTACAGTGATACTGATAGGGGAAATGAATTTCAGTGTGCATTTCATACGCAGTGGAAAAAAATCCAACATGAATACAGAGATATTTTTCATGGCGATCTAAACATTTCTCTTGTATTTGGAGCATTTTATATTATGGACACTAAAGAAAATAATTTGACAGTTTCGGAATTGAATGATTTTTTGAGAAAATTTGAAGAGAGGCGTACCCATGGTTATAAAATGGGGTGTGTACCTTACTCGTTTTCGTTTCTACCTATGCATAAACAGACAGAAAGTCTTTTGAAAATTCTCGAAACACACTTCGTTAAAGGTGATAGACAGAAAACAGTAAAAGTGAGAGTTGGAAATCAGGGTCTTTTTGATCTTGACGAAGATTTAAACATCATTCGTTTTAATGCTCCTGAAATAAAATGGTTTATTGGTCAAATAATCCGATTACTTTCGCAAAACAACCCTTCAGACCATATTGGTGCTCGTTGCAAAATTTTGTCGTATAGAAATCTTACCAAAAACGTCTTCATGCAATAGGAGGAAAACAAATGGCTTCAATATAGAAGTACGCCTCTCATACAAAGATTCAGAGGTGGCTTTTTCGTATGTTCTGATCGTGTTACCTATATTAGGGAGAAAGAAACACATATATATTCGAACGAAGACTTAAACATGGAAAATAAAGTGTGGCGAACCATGCAGGTTGAGGTTTCTAAAGTGAAAGAGTACGATGTTGAACAACGAACCGGTCGATGCAAGAAAATATCGGAGAGGACAGAACTGGCAATAATACCGTACATACCTGATATCAGATCGTCTATTGAGGAGATATATAAGTATTCCCAACAATTGTGGGAAATTGCTCTATATTTCGGAAAAGCATTTGACAGTTAGAAGTGATATTATTTGAATTTTTAACCTTCGAATGCAAAGGTCTTTTATTGTTAATGTTGGTAATTGCAACTTTTAGAAGTAATATTATTTGAATTTTGAACCTTCAAATACAAAGGTCTTTTTATTGTTACATGTAGTGTTGGTTATTTCCATTTGATCAATACATCAAAATATACCGGTAGTGTCAATGATACCACTAATTTAACTTTTTAAAAACTTTCTTTTTGGTTTTACGTAAATGAAAATAAACTGCATTATTTAAGATTTTTAGCCATAGATATAACCAATTTCGCTAAAGGATCTTCGTGTGGGGCTTTAAAGATATGTGATTATGACAAAGATGTTATTCTGGAATCATATGTTGTATTCAGTTGCATCACAGTGTTATCATCATACCTTAATGCTAACAACTGAATGAATTTTAATTAATTGTTCTGACATCTTTATTGAATATATGAAATCAATTATATGTGGGAAAAAATGAAAGATTATAATAGCCTCATGATTGTTTTGTAAGGAAAATCGAAAGGAAATAATACAAGTATTATAGAGAGATTTTGGTTTTTTCTCTTTTTTAGGGGGTGGGGGGTGGGGGCTTTCCTTTCTAAATTTCCTTGATTTGTCACCATATTTCACATATTAACCGGAAAATACGAATTCCACGAGCATTCACGTTCATCTGCAGCTAACAAGCACGATTTTTCCTTGGACCTCAAACTCTAGGTGGCCTCATATGAAAATAAATTTGCTAATAATTCTACCTGTAAATTCATTTTCATATACATGTACGTTGTCTCATGGGAGTAGATGAGTTAAAAAGAAAAAATACACTGTGAAATAACAAAAAGTAATTTTTTTGTATTCTATCAGATTGGAAGGAATTACTTTTGATCAAATACTTTGAAGCTCAATGTTTTGCAATGTTCTTACAAAATAATAAAATGAGTTCTTTGGTTTTAGTATATGAAAAGTAATATTATGTCGCAGCTATTGCAGGAAAATACATAACCCTTGTAAGCGACTCTGTAATGCTTATTATGCAATAACTACTACATGTACGTAACTTCTGTACTTACAAACAAAGAAAGTCATTTTACTATTTTTTTTACATTTATATCCTTGGTTAAATTTTTTTTTTTAGGAAATTAATTACATGTATGTTAAATACTGTATTATAGATGTGTGTGTCATATAATGGACGTTTTCGAAAAGCACTAACTATTACAATCGACGAATTACTTTTACACCTTGAAAATATACAGAAGCTCCTTTGCAATGAAAATATTTCGCATATCAATTTATAGAACGATAAAAATGGGCCATTTTAAAGCCCAGTTTACGTTATGTTGACTAGGAAGGGAACAACAATAATCATATTCTCAACTCCCTCCCTTCCAGCTTGACGAACTCCTGTCGAGTTTTCCTTCCGGAATATTTTCCATCTTTATTCGATTCTTTTAGACAAATAAAATGAAAAGAGATAACGTTTCAATAGTAAGCTGATTTATATTTTTTTAACTAGGCCATGTGCTCAAGTGAGCGATGTGGCCCATGTGTCTCAAGTCACAATGGGTTTTGCGTTAGAATGATGAAGTAAATTGAACATGAATCCTACATAAAAACTTCTGAAACGTTGATTGTGGTGTATAAAACATGGGATAAAAAGAATCTCACATAATTTGTAGTTAGATATGATTTTTATCCAACTCATTGTATGTTATATACCCTTAACAAGGCTCGGGGATATAAAATAAAACACACAACCCGTTGAATAAAAATCATATCCAACTACAAATAATATGATATCCTATATTTCGCTTCTGCACTTCCACGGTATTCGACGTTCGTAACGTCAAAATAAAACATAATCTTTAACCTTTTGACCCACTTTTTCTGTTATGGTGTTTTGAATTCTGTAAATATTCACGCAAAATTCACAAAAATGAGTTAAACATAGTTTCACAGTCGATAAACTAGATTTATCGGTTGTAAACAACGGACTGTAAGCTATAGTTTACAAGATTAATCTATATTTTACATCTGCATACCATAATTAATGCGATAATCTATGTTTCTGAACCGTAAACTATACTTAACACTGAAAACAGTCATTTGCAGTTGCAAAACATAGATTATCTAATGAATACACTTTCACGATTTGTAAACTATGGTTTACAACTGTAAAATAGAGTTAACAATCTGGTAAATATAGTTTCATGATTTGTGAAACTATGATTGAACTCTTAACTATAGTTCACGATTTTAAGTTATAGTTAACAGACGTGAATCTATGTTTATCAACAAAATCTATTGTAAAGGT